AGGATTCCCTCGTGTGTTTAGTAGAACTCCACGTTGCAATTATTTTACCATGTCGTAACTATTAATAGTTGTACAAGCACTAGTAGTAGTTGTGGTAGTAATAGTGGTAGAAGTAGTAGTATTAACAGTAGAACGAAACAGTAATACAAAGAATAATATCAATAGAACATAAGAACACAAGAATAAAGGCAACTGGGCTATATTCTTGTGTTCTTATGTAGTAGTTGGCCGCTAGAAGTAGTAGTTATTGTAGTAGACATAATGACAGTAGAGGTAGCGGTAGTTGTAGCAGGAGTGGAGGTTGTTGTGTGTGAGCTCCGGTGTAATACTGAGCACCATCAAGGCGGCGAGCTGTTATTGTGAAGATATTAACGTTTTTAACAGTGAGGGAAAGGTCACTGTTGCCTGACCCGGGGATATTACCTCGCGCTTATTTTGTTGTTCACAGACATTTTAAGGCAATTTAGAAGTACAATTTCAGGGGTGTTTTGATGGCTGTGAGTGTTGTTGAGAGGCAGCGGAGGACAGCCCGTCTCCAGCAGGCAGTAGTTAGGTCATTACTGGCCTTGAGTCCTGACGGGTCAGAGGTCACCCCTTCCCACCCTTAACCATCCTAAATCCTGTTCCATCACTACCCATAATTCCCTCCCTACCTTGTCCTCCTCACTGCCTCTGCCTCCCCCCATACATTGCCTCCAGCCCCCCACGCCACTCCCACAGGCCCAACCATGGGTGACTCACGCCCATGGGGGTTACATAAGCCCATTTCGCTGACCTTCTAGAGGCGGTGTTTCAACGGGGGGGGGGGGGGGAGGGTTGTCGGCGTGTTGAGTGTTAATGACACCCTCTACTGTCATGGCCACCGCCGCCGCCCTACCGCTAATGGCAGCCCTCGGCTCCACCACCCATGATAACACCCTCTCAACCACCCGCGGTAACACTGCGAGCACTGCCCCTCACAACGGCTGTCTGGGAGGTCCCGAGCCTTAGTCCCTGGTGACTGCTGTCTGGGGGACCAGTCCGAGCACCAGGAGCCTGGGGGACCAGTCCGAGCACCAGGAGCCTGGGGATAACACACTGGGGAAGCAGCCGTTGCTCCAGTCTCATCATTGCACAATTCCACCACAGCAAAAATGCGTTTATTTCCCTGAGCTGTGACGTACTGACGGTCTGGCCGTCTGAAAGTCTTAGCGGCTCCAGCAAACTGAATTCCATAGCCTACTGACAGCTTCCAGTGTTGTGTTCCCGCAGCGGCCGGCCTTCCCTGGTGATGGTCCGCTCTGTGAGGCTCCTGGTACTCGTAGTCCCCTGACCACAGAGTCCTGAAGACTGAGCTTGTGTCTATCAACCGGGCCATTCTTAACTAGTAGATGATACAATTTATTAAACAAATCACAATGTTTACAAATAAAAGAAAAATAACCGAAACCTCTTCACTTATCAAACAATATTTAGCAGTACATTGTTAAACAAACACAAAGGAAACCTGAAAACAGCATTGAGAGCAGTATAGGAGAACAGGAAGGGTGTGGAGCTGTGCTGGCAGGGTGTGGAGCTGTGCTGGCAGGGCGGGTGTGGAGCTGTGCTGGCAGGGTGGGTGTGGAGCTGTGCTGGCAGGGCGGGTGTGGAGCTGTGCTGGCAGGGCGGGTGTGGAGCTGTGCTGGCAGGGCGGGTGTGGAGCTGTGCTGGCAGGGTGGGTGTGGAGCTGTGCTGGCAGGGCGGGTGTGGAGCTGTGCTGGCAGGGTGGGTGTGGAGCTGTGCTGGCAGGGTGTGGAGCTGTGCTGGCAGGGTGGGTGTGGAGCTGTGCTGGCAGGGCGGGTGTGGAGCTGTGCTGGCAGGGCGGGTGTGGAGCTGTGCTGGCAGGGCGGGTGTGGAGCTGTGCTGGCAGGGCGGGTGTGGAGCTGTGCTGGCAGGGTGGGTGTGGAGCTGTGCTGGCAGGGCGGGTGTGGAGCTGTGCTGGCAGGGAGGGTGTGGAGCTGTGCTGGCAGGGTGTGGAGCTGTGCTGGCAGGGCGGGTGTGGAGCTGTGCTGGCAGGGCGGGTGTGGAGCTGTGCTGGCAGGGAGGGTGTGGAGCTGTGCTGGCAGGGTGTGGAGCTGTGCTGGCAGGGCGGGTGTGGAGCTGTGCTGGCAGGGCGGGTGTGGAGCTGTGCTGGCAGGGAGGGTGTGGAGCTGTGCTGGCAGGGCGGGTGTGGAGCTGTGCTGGCAGGGCGGGTGTGGAGCTGTGCTGGCAGGGCGGGTGTGGAGCTGTGCTGGCAGGGTGGGTGTGGAGCTGTGCTGGCAGGGCGGGTGTGGAGCTGTGCTGGCAGGGAGGGTGTGGAGCTGTGCTGGCAGGGCGGGTGTGGAGCTGTGCTGGCAGGGAGGGTGTGGAGCTGTGCTGGCAGGGCGGGTGTGGAGCTGTGCTGGCAGGGTGTGGAGCTGTGCTGGCAGGAAGGGTGTGGAGCTGTGCTGGCAGGGCGGGTGTGGAGCTGTGCTGGCAGGGTGTGGAGCTGTGCTGGCAGGAAGGGTGTGGAGCTGTGCTGGCAGGGCGGGTGTGGAGCTGTGCTGGCAGGGAGGGTGTGGAGCTGTGCTGGCAGGGCGGGTGTGGAGCTGTGCTGGCAGGGCGGGTGTGGAGCTGTGCTGGCATGGTGTGTGTGGAGCTGTGTTGGCAGGGAGGGTGTGGAGCTGTGTTGGCATGGTGTGTGTGGAGCTGTGCTGGCAGGGCGGGTGTGGAGCTGTGCTGGCAGGGCGGGTGTGGAGCTGTGCTGGCAGGGCGGGTGTGGAGCTGTGGTGGCAGGGCGGGTGTGGAGCTGTGCTGGCAGGGCGGGTGTGGAGCTGTGCTGGCAGGAAGGGTGTGGAGCTGTGCTGGCAGGGCGGGTGTGGAGCTGTGCTGGCAGGAAGGGTGTGGAGCTGTGCTGGCAGGGCGGGTGTGGAGCTGTGCTGGCAGGGCGGGTGTGGAGCTGTGCTGGCAGGGCGGGTGTGGAGCTGTGCTGGCAGGGCGGGTGTGGAGCTGTGCTGGCATGGTGTGCGTGGAGCTGTGCTGGCAGGGCGGGTGTGGAGCTGTGCTGGCAGGGTGTGGAGCTGTGCTGGCAGGAAGGGTGTGGAGCTGTGCTGGCAGGGCGGGTGTGGAGCTGTGCTGGCAGGGAGGGTGTGGAGCTGTGCTGGCAGGGCGGGTGTGGAGCTGTGCTGGCATGGTGTGCGTGGAGCTGTGCTGGCAGGGTGGGTGTGGAGCTGTGCTGGCAGGGCGGGTGTGGAGCTGTGCTGGCATGGTGTGCGTGGAGCTGTGCTGGCAGGGCGGGTGTGGAGCTGTGCTGGCATGGTGTGCGTGGAGCTGTGCTGGCAGGGCGGGTGTGGAGCTGTGCTGGCAAGGCGGGTGTGGAGCTGTGCTGGCAGGGCGGGTGTGGAGCTGTGCTGGCAGGGCGGGTGTGGAGCTGTGCTGGCAAGGCGGGTGTGGAGCTGTGCTGGCAGGGTGTGGAGCTGTGCTGGCAGGGCGGGTGTGGAGCTGTGCTGGCAGGGTGTGGAGCTGTGCTGGCAGGGAGGGTGTGGAGCTGTGCTGGCAGGGAGGGTGTGGAGCTGTGCTGGCAGTGACTCTCTTCTCCACATCATTATCACCCACGAAAGGAAAAATAAAAGGTTTTGGAACATTAGAAATCTTTCATTTTTTCTTAAAAGTATTCTCAAGATGATAGTGTGTACTAGAGGGACTCAGGCCTGAACACAACACCCTAAATATGTAAATATATAAACTTATTTACATATCAAGAGTATTATACATACAATAGATGAATTGGCCGCACAATTATTATAATGAAAGCAGGTTCAACATAGCACTAAGCTGTTATATAGGAGATAATGATGACACAGTACAAGGTTTACTTATCTTATGACGAATTGAGAAGTTACACTGAAAATTGTAATTTAAATAAGTTTATTGATATATAAATACGCATAAACGGACGAGAATGGGAACTAGTGACTGTTGAAGCATACTAGTGACTGTTGAAGCATACTAGTGACTGTTGAAGCATACTAGTGACTGTTGAAGCATACTAGTGACTGTTGAAGCATACTAGTGACTGTTGAAGCATACTAGTGACTGTTAGAGCATATTAGTGACTGCGTGTGTGCTGTACCAGTGTGTTAAGACGCCAGTAACTGCTGGACTAGCCGGCAAATTATTTTAATGAGCGGTTGGGTTTCCCATTCGTGGCCTCCCGCCAGGGGTCAGAGGTCAGTGCCGAGCATATAAAGGTCAAGATCTGTGTAGACGTGAGCACGAGGGGGCAAGGCCACACCTGGCACACACACGTGGCGTTCACTCTACACACCTGGCCGAGGAAGAGAGAGTTGAGCAGCTTGATGAAATGCTTGGAAAGGTTCTGTCAGGTTTGTGGTGGTGATATACGTGGTCCTTAGTTTATGGTCTCACACACACACACAGTCGGAGTCGGAGGCTGACTCCATACACAGTTTCAAATGTAGATATGATAGAGCCCAGTAGGCTCAGGAATCTGTACACATGTTGATTGACAGTTGAGAGGCGGGACCAAAGAGCCAGAGCTCAACCCCGCAAGCACAACTAGGTGAGTACACACACACGGTCTAGTGTGACCCAGTCCAGTATGTCCCATGTGGTCTAGTGGCTAGGATACCTGGCTTTCACCCAGGAGGCCCGGGTTCGATTCCCGGCATGGGAAGCAGTTTTGCTGTTTTAAGGTTTTTAAATAAAATTCAGAATTAGTATAATGTTTTCCTTTTGCATACCAGGATCAACAAATAACTGTTTTAGGGGCTCCCCCGTGGCTGAGTGGACCGCGCTCGGAGGTGAAAATATATTCCCCCCTCAAAGTGCTCGTCAACATGAAGCACATATTAGGCGGAAGAGACCTCTCACTACATACAAAATACCAAGTAGTAAGCCCATTGGTTAAACATATCCAATCAACCAGAAAATTAGGCCACATCTGACCTTTTCCATGCACGTCACCCGTTCACTCATACATAGAAAACGTGACCCCTTACAACACAGAAACAGAAGCCATCAGCTGATGCCATCAACACACCGTGCAGCCCCAGCGTCAGGGCTCAGAAGCAACACTCAATCCCTCCCTAACCATTAGTGCGTCTCTCAACATCATCACTCGTGCACCCATCCGGAGGAGAATACCTTCACACCGAGTGTTTCTATCTTCAAGAAGAACGTTG